TCCTGTGTTCGTGTTTCAAAATTTTTACTCAGTACTGGTCTTTTCATCAGGAGTGCTTAGAAGTTTTTTATTCCATTAAAGATCCATTTTTTTTTCATCTGTGGGATTATGTTCAGTTTTGCTGGTTGAGTTATTGTTAGTCGTAAGCCTATATTCTTTGCTTTCTAGAATATCCATGTTACAAACTCTCTGTCCTTTATTGCAGTGGTAGCTGGACTGCACATGATTCTGACTGTGACTCCTTAGTATATTTTGGTTATAATGTTCCTGGTAGTTTTCATTTTGGAGTTTCTTTTAGGAAGCAAGTGGTAGATTCTTTCTATTTCTATTTTGCCATTTCATTTTAAGAGATTTGGGCAGTTTTCCTTTATGGTTTCTTGAAATATGCTGTCTAGAATTTTTTTTTAGTCATGACTTACTTAAATTATCTCTTCTCAATCTGTTTTCTCTCAGGCTACTTATTTTGTTTATGAGATACCTTACATTTTCATCTATTTTTTTCAGTCTTTTGACCGTGCTTTAATATTTCTTCTCACTTAAAGCAATTAACTTCTGTTTGCTCCATTCTACTTTTCAGGATGTTTATTGATTGGGTAAGGTTTTGTCTCTTGTGGGAATTGTAGGAGTTGAATGAACTACATTAACTCTATCTCATGACTTAATTCTGGATCTAGCTTAATTCACTTTCTATTTAGCCATGGCTGTAGTCCAATTTCTGTCTTGAGAGAAAACTATTCAATTATGGGAGTTGTGAGAAAACTTTATTGCATTGTTTGAATCTAGCCCTGCATGGCTGGCAAGCTGGACCACCTCTACCTGTTGCTTAGAGACCCTTAACTAAGGTTCTAGGTTATGCTGATCAGAAACCTAGTCTGATCCAAAGACTGATGCTGGGAGTTTTCTCACAATTATACATCTTAAGCAAACCATATATCTTACCGGAAAACTGGCCCCTTATTGTCAATCAGTTATTGTTTCCACATTCCTTTGACTGAATACTGACACTTGGGGCGAGTGGGACGCCTCTTTTTCTGATTTCAGGGAATTGTACCTGCTTACTGTCTCTCTCCCAATTCTCAAAATTCATACATCCCCCTCCCAACTCAGAAAGCCCTTAATCTTTCCTCCAATAAGAAATCAGATTACCCAACCTTATATTCTGGTTTCTACCCTGTTTTCTTTTAATTAGTCTTATTTGATTAATTGTTTTTAATGCATAAAAATCTGTCTCCCCTGTATTTGGGGTCTAGATTTAAGCTGAGAAAGGCCTGGACCCCATTTGTTATGCATTTGGCATGCATTGTTTAGCAAACTGATATGCTCAGAAGCTTGAACCTTTGTTTCCTCAGTCATTTCAGATTTTACAATAACATTTGTGCTAAGATTTAATTTTGTTTCCAATTCTTTTTTCCATAGATCTCATTTCTTTTCCACCCCTCCTCCACCCAGCACTTTCATTTCACTTACATTTTAAACTCTTCAAAATTCTTGCTTCATCTCTTCTAGGAATTCTAGTTGAACTTGTGTTCAAGTTGTGTTTTCCTTTGAGGCTTTGCTTGTAGATGTTTTGGAGTCATTCTTTTCTTTTGGGTTAGTGACCTTATCACTACAATAGCTTTTTATGGTGGATTCTTTCTGCCCATTTTCTGACTTCAGACTTTATGTTAGCGTCAGGCTCTGTGCACTTCTGAAGGGAATGTCAAGGTGGGTCCTGCTGCTTTCTTTGGGTACTGGGTGTTATGTTATTCCAGAACCTCAAGGACAGCTTAGGATGGGGATCTGCATGCTTTCAGTGCTCCCAGAGTGGCTTGGTTCAGGGAAAAGTCTAACTTCTGCCCTACTAATCTAGGCTCTGTAAGTTCCTGATCTGAATTAGGGTCTGAGCAATACATTTGTGTGATTGCTCCAGTTAGAGTTCCAGTAGACTGCCGCTGGAGACAGCTGGAAAGCTCTGCTGGTTCAGTGACAGATTTGCAGACTTCGGTTTGGTCTGGGATTTCTGCTCTAGTCAATTTACTGCATGATTCAAATTGGGCTGGAGGCTGAAACTGAGAACCCATTCTTCCCCTGTGGCCAGAAAAGAGATGCTGCTTGCTTCACAGGCTAAGGCTCAAGATCCCTCCTCAGCCTGGAATGCTACCCCTGGGCACAGATCCCCTCCTCAGTGATAAAGCTGCCATATCTATTGCTGCATCCTGCACAATGTTGGAGCCCCTCTTTGGAGGATTTGGATCCTCTTCTCGCTCTGGTGCACAGCTCAGTGCTTTTGTTCCTGGCTAGATTCCCATTCCCAGCGTCTATAGATTTCTCTGTCTGGCAACCATGTGGATTTGGATTATAAAAATGACTCAACATGATTTTTTCCATAGATTTCCTGATCAGGACTCAATCTAGTGCATCTTCTTGATCTGTTTGGAGGTATTGTGAGGGGGAGTTCAGCTGTACGTCTTACTTCTCCCTTGGTAACTTCTCAGTAATATTTCCTTTTTTTTTTTTCCTTCATTCTCCCACCCAGGGACATTAGAATTTCATTCATATCTACAGAAAAAAAAAAAAAACATGAAGGGGTCCTCAGATTGTATGCAAACATCTAGGCAAAAGGATATCTAACAAGCTTTATTTCATCTAACACTCATACATAAGCCTATAGAGAGTAAAAATAATTCTTATTCTCACCCAGGAGAGTCCTATCTCTCTCAGGGCTCCTATATTACTTGCCTCTGGACTTACAGTACTACTTTGGGTGCTGCCCTTACCAATGGGAAATCACCTGGGGTTTTTCAAGAATCAAGCAGCCTGTCTCTCCAGTAAACCCCACCAAGGACCTATATAGGCCCCAAGATTTCTAGTGACATCCCCAGAAAAGTTCAAATTTTAACTCCTTTTATAGTAAGATATTGAGATACTAAGTGAACTTCATCATCATGGTAAATATCATCTACTGATACTCAAAAGTAGACCATTTCTCACCTTGCTAAAGGTTTCATTAATGAGATAACAAAGGGTTGCCATCCATGTTAACCTTATTAATAAGGAATTAACATGAGTCCAGTGGACTGAAGTCAGATCACACCACCCACCTTCTGCCATCGAGGTGAACTTAAAATTCAAAATGAAAAATTCATATTTAGACAAGGTCATTGTGGGAATTTATTTTGCTGAACTATCTATACTTAATGTGAGAATTTGAAAAACTTATTCCATGGTGGGGGAGTGGTAGTAGTTGCAGGAGAGATAATAAATGCTTGCAACATTTTTTAAATAAATTAAAACAGCACGTTAATCTTGTCAAAGGAATCTCACACACTTTAAGAACAGTAGAGAAATTCTAGAGACCCTTATCAGGTATTCTCCTACACATACCCTCTACATTTGGAAAGTGTGTGGGGAGTTGAAGTATGTTCTTAATCTGGGCTTTGGAATCCATGGATAGCTTTCAAGCGATCTGTGAATTTGCATTGGAAAAAAGGTTACATCCTAATTTTCACTAACCCTTATCTGAAACTTAGCATGTCCTTCTTATAAATTTTTTAAAAACCTTCTTCTGAGAAGGGAGTCCATGGACTTTAGCAGACTATCAAAGGGGCCCATGACTTAAAAAAGGTCAAAAATTCTTGTTCTAGATGATTTCTAAGGCATCTTCCAATTCTAAGTTCCATAATTCTATCCGTGTTTGATTTATTTCGTATGTATGTATTTTGTATGTTCTCTAAAAGTTGGGACCATATCTCATTTGAACTTTTTCTTCCCAGCATCTAGCCTAATAAAATCCATGCAAAGTGCCTGATTAAACATTGTTTGAATTGTAATAAAACTTCAACGATTTTCCCACAGAATTTCTGCACTAACCCCAAACCCATTAGTCTAGATTTCTGTCTTTGGAATAGGCATTTTTATCATGGATCTTCTTTGGCATTTTAGTAAAACTTAGGGACTCAATCTCAGAATGATGTTTTTAAATAATTGGAGGAAATGCTAAATTTCAGTTAGCTGTCAGTGAAAATAAGGATGTAGTTTTTTTTCCCCCATCCAAGTTTACAGACCCTCGAAATCTTTCCACAAACCCCTGGGGGGATATCTGTGGACCCCAGATTAAGCACCTTTGTGAATCTAGAGTCTGGCCCAGGTTTCTCTTTTCATCTTGCCTTGTGTGCCCCTCAGCTCAAACTCTTTGTTTTAGCCAGAATGCACTCTCTCAACCCAGAACACAGCATACTCATTTCTTTCTAAAAAAAAAAAAAATTGATAAATTTTGATTTAGCACATCACAAAACGTCAGCAAACTCCCTAATTAGATTCCTCTCCTATACTGTACAATTCTAAAAAGAGTTTAGTAAAACAACCGAAGTGATTGCTATGAAGAACACATATGACCTTATACTTTAATTTTCCACTGATTAAAGGGAAGGATTGGGCATGTTTAATAAGTTAGACCCACCATTACTCAGTCTTCCTGTCTTCTTTCATGCTATTCTCTTCACTGAGAATACCATTCTTTCTGCAGTTACTTCTCCTACTCTCTTATTCATGGAGCCTCCTTGGTAGGATGGTACCTGGCTGGGTCAGTCACACTTCATGGTCTCAGGGCTCCTTGCTTTACTTACCACAATACTGGAAACCCATGAACTTTTCTGAAAAACCTTCTTAGGTCTTTATCCATTTTTCTCCTTCTCTGATTTCCTACTCCATCTTGTGTCTTTATACTATCCACTGTTCAAAGAAGCATAACTCATTTGTTCAATCATGCAATCAAAGCATTTATTAAGCACCTACTATATGCTCCTGTGTTGGGCAACTGAGCAAACACCTTTAAACCAAACCAGGAGAAAGTGGTTTTCCCCATTCAGGTGTATGTTTGGAGGATGGGTTGTGGAAGACTTCATATCCACATTTCACCCCTCATGCTGGTGTCTGGCAGGGATGGCATTCATGCTGGCTTAGAGTCATCCTCAGATAATCCCTATTAGGTAGGGGAGGGGTATCAGTTGTTATACAGTTGTTTTTCATTCGTGTTCGACTCTTCTTGATCTCATTTGGGGTTTTGTTGGCAAAGATATTGGTGTGGTTTGCCATTTCTTTCTCCAGCTCATTTTATAGATGAAGAAACTGAGACCAACAGTGTTAAGTGATTTGTCCAGGGTCACAGAGCTAGTAAATATCTGAGGCTGGATTTGATCTCAGGAAGATGAGTCTTCCTGAATCTAGGCCCAGCACTCTATCCAATGAACCACCTAACTGCCTGAGAGGGCTCTCATTATGAGCCCATTTGAGGAAAGTGGGGCTCAAGCCTGTTCAAGAATCAGTCATACACATATAAGTGAACCAAAGACGGCAGAACAAGAAAAACAGCAAGATGTGGTCAGTGGAAACTAAACTGAGAGTCAGGATACCTGGATTTTAGTCTCAACTGGGCTACTAAGGCTTGGGTAGGATCTAGGACAAGTCACTACAATTATCTGAGACTGTTTCTTTTC